ACTTAAATATGTTGGCATCAAATAAAAAAATGTCAAAAGAAATACTAGTACGCAGAACACTTTAACTTTGTCTATAACTTTTGATTGGATGATGCTATTGCTTTCATATTTAACAGGTTTTCCTTGTGACACAAGACTTTGTTCTGATAGCACAAATTGTACTTGTTGACCTTGACATTGAAATTAAACCAATTTTTGCTAAAGAAATTACCAAACCTTAACCTTACACATAACTTTTGAACAGTTCACACTAGATCTTTCATTCTTCACATGTGTATTCATTTTGACAAGTCCAATCAATGAGTTGAGTTTATATATTGTTTTAATTTTACCCAAGATTATGACCCACTTTTGAAAAAATAACATTTACGAAAGTCATAACTTTTGAACAATTAGGATTATAGAACTTTCTTATTTCACATGACTTGGCCTTCCGTTTTGACTTTTTGTCCTTGACTTGGAGTTTGACCTACTTTTTTAAAAACCCTCATTTTGACCATAATTTGTAAACAGTTGGTGGTAAGGTTTTTATATTTCAGGGTCCTCCCTGAATACCCCTTTACTTTTGGAGATTGGCCTTGGAGATTGAGCCACTTTTGAAAATTTTAACCTTGGTCACCACTTTTAAAAGATTAGTCCTTTGACTCTCTTTTTTGAAATAATATATATTCATTAAAAACGTTCTTTGCTCTTGACCTTAACATGGGAATATTAATTACATTTGAGAAACTTCTACTCGCCAAAAGCTGCAAAAAAGGGGCATCAGAGTTTCAAAAACATTTTTTTACTTGAATATAATGCAAATGTCTTTTCACACGATATTTTTGCGAATTCTATATGAATTCCATATGAAAATTGCATGATATTTTTGTCCAAGGGTAATTTTCGTCTCCTTCAAATGCAAATAATTTGAATGAAAATCATGTGGCAGTTGTTTTTGTCATCTGTATTCATGTGAAATATTGTAAAATTGTAAATCTTTGAAAATGGTGTATGGCTTTTCAGATATTATGTATGGGAGAGGACTATCGAAGTTTTTGGAACTTGTGTCCAATCCCTTTCAGTGGCGTATATTCCATATAGGCAAAAAGGCTGTAGCCTACACATCACTCTCAAGAATTAAACAAATGGTTGAATAAAGGGGCGGGGAGTTGATAGTAAATCGTACCTATTAATTTATTTTGTTGGAAATGAAAAAAAGCTTTCTTTTTAATCAGCATGTTTATACCTAATCAATTATGTTTACAGTTTTGCTTTAAATTTAAGTACAAAACTATTCCCTTAGCTTGACATTTTTTAAAGCCAAAGTTCAAGTGTTATTGATATCAAGTCTGTATCAGAAAATTTAATCAAAAGCAACAGGATCCCATAATATGAGCAGGAAACGAAATTGATAACTTGCATTATATTTGTTAGTCAACATTTTGATCGAAATTTGATTATTTAGTAAGGAAGTTTCCATATTTTCAAAGCGGATATCAAGTAAAATGATAAGTTATCAGTTTTGTTAGGAGGTCTTCACATCACGATATAAACTGTATAATACATGTACAATATTATTTTCACTGGTCAAATTATAATTGCAGATGCCTGAGTTTGCAAAAGTGGTCCTTTTGTGCCCCCCCCCCCCAATACCTATCGAGAGGAAGCTCCATGTCTACCCAAGCTTTGCAGCTCAGGTTAAATATGTGGCTTCACAAAAGCCTACACACTAGCAGAAAGGAATATACGCCACTGCCTTTGACATGTTTTAATAACATATGTTCAAAACAAAAGGAAAATCGTGAGATATTTCTATGATCTTCATTCAAATAAGTTTTCCCTGTGTGCAAACTATTTATCTGTAAATTAAGTTGAGAGTCCGTTATGGTTTACTGCAATGTATTATGTTTTGTTTTTACTTAGCAATAATAAATAGAGGATATAAAGTAAATCTGTTGCAAACACATCAATGGTTGTGTGCTTCGACATAATAAATAGGAAATTTTATCTTGTTTCTGTTTGTTTTCACTTTGTTAAACAAAACAAAGCTATTATATTGAATTAGAGTTCAATGAATTAATACGCGTAAATTAATCTCTTATAATCTGCCTTGAATGATTATCATAAAAACCAACAGACATTTGGTTCCTCTTACTGACTGCAATCCTCCGTGGGTGTACCTTCTGACTGGTGATTGGCTTTAAGCTTTGGCTTCTAATTTTAATCCAATCGGAGCAGCGAAACCGATACGTTTCATATGACGAATAACAAGCCGGAAAACTCAGTTCAGAATGATGGATCGGAGAGGTCGTTTGGTTTTGATTTCTTCTTTATTTGTATGTCTCACAAATTGTCAAGGCAAGTGAAATTTCTCTAATTTGGTAATATTTTGTCTGCCGATTGTGATATGGAGTATCCAAATAAGTATACTAGTAATGCATGTCGTTATTCTTCATACAGTAAGAGGATACGGGGGTTATTCTTGAATTAGATTCACTTGATTCTACTCACTTTTTATATCCCCCGCTTGAAAAGCGGGAGGGTATATAGTAATTGGTATTTCCGTCTGTCTGTCTGTTAAGCTTTCGGGATCCCATCTCTTATCCGCAACTCCTCTTATACCACTGAGTGAAATTTAATGAAACTTTCACAGAATCTTTATTACATATTACCATTGTGCATCTCCTATTTTATTTTTTGATCTGATATATATTTTGGGTTTCCCGGCCACAACAAAACATAGGACTTCTGCTCATTATAACCATATGGGAGGCGGGGGCATCATTTAGTGAGCTAATTACTCACAATACCTTTAGTTGAAATATGCATCTTACATGTACGTCATTTCAATCTGTTACAATCAAAACATTTAATGATAGACAATGAAATGAGCGGTACAGTTCAACGCGGACGGTCGTGAAAACATTGGATTGAAATTCTATTTTGAAATTCATTTTCAGTCCATCTCAACTATGCTAGAAGGCTTATTATTACTGATTGACCCAGAAGACAAATAATTTCAATTTCGAATTTTTGGCATTTTCAATAATAAATGCTCTTTTTCGACAAACTATGTGTTATGTTATCCGTTTGGCAAAAAACAGAACAGAATAGACTCATGGTTAAAAAGGTATATCTATTATATTAGAAGATGATGGTATAATATATAAATCAGAATTTTCTGTCCAGCGTTTTAAAGAAATATATAAAGGCACAAATATTTGATTTCTGTTTTGTATAATCTATGTATGTGTGTGGTACAAATAAAGCCTGATCTGACTGGACACTTTTTGACACCCCTCCCTATCTCCTAGAATCAAACGGCTGTCTCCTGAAAAAATTTATGTCTTCTATGACTTTTACCAGTGTTCTTTAAATTAATTAACAATTTTTTTTAGTTACATGCTTATATACTCTTCAAAAAAAAGAAACGCATCGTAGAATTTTAGTGACACATTGAACATAAATATTATTTAGTAAAATGATGCATTGATAAAACAGAAATGTGGTAAGCAACAGGAATACTATCTAAATGTCATAATTACTCAACAATTTTAAAATTATAGTCAGTTTAAGACCATTAAAGATCAATATCTGGTATGCCCCCCGCAGACACAAATGACGGCCACAAACGGCATCAAATGGAAGCAAACGTGTGTAATAAAAACTGTATAGGAATACCCTCCCACTCCAAATGTAGAACTTTAGTCAGCTGTTGCAGAGTCTTGGGATGAAATCGTCTTTGGCAAATCATATCAATCCATTTTGTCCAATGCTGCTTCATTTGGATTACATCTAGCGATTTAGATGACTGTGACTGAAACAGGTTGTTGTTTCTTTGCAAGAATATGTGTATCAAACGAGCCATATGTGGCTGTGTATTGTGAGATTGCAATACGGCTCTAGGATGCTGCCAAATTGAATGGGTATGTGGAGGCAGAACATGGTTAGAGTACCTTTTTACAACAAAGTCCATTGAATTCGAACCAAGTCAATTTTACTTTCTTATAATAGCATTTTCCATATCATTACACTACCACCACCAACTTTTTTAACGTCCTGGAGGCAGTTATCTATATAACCTTCATTAAAAAGCATAAGCACTCTTAAACTTGTGAGAGGCTTTCAGATACACATTCTGGACTACTAGGTTCACCAAAATGTTCAACAGTGATGCTGTGGTCATACTCTATTCATCTGAGATCTTTGAAGTCGATATTTGAGGTGTCGTGGGGTCGAAAAATGGCATGAATAATCCTCTTGCAATAATTCGTAGTCAACTGAAAACGGTCTTGTTAGATGATCTGTGCAGTTCAGGGATAGCTAATGCTTTATATGACGTCCTTGCATTACATTCATGCAATTTGCATTATCCTCGGAAGTGATGCTGTGCTGCTGATGTCACACGTAGTTTACCATATTTTTTGCGAACATTGGGTGTTCAATGTTAATGGTTTATGCTTTATAGGTTAGATATGGTCTGTGTGTAACATTAAAACCTCTTGCAAATGTAGATTGCGGTACCCCTGCTTCCAGTTGCCCATTTTCCTTTTTGTGCCACGCAACGTTCAGATGCAGCATTTTTAGAATTCTTGAAAACAGCTGCTACATTTATTATATCCCCCACTTGAAAAGCGGAAGGGTACAGAATATACCGTAGAAGTAGACATTTCAGCGGGACGCAAATTTAACGATTTCTCCTTCAAAATTGATATTTTATTTCTAATAAGATGTAATTTTGGCTAGTAAACTCAGTAAAGAAGCCTTTACAAATAAGGCGCAAATTTTTTTTAGCGATGTTCAATTTTAGCGACCTTGGCAAAGTCGCTTATAAAGCCACAATTAAATTTTCGCTAAAAATTCTGCTTTTATATGTTCGGTAGTAAACGGTTTGTCCGTTTTTGATGAAAATTGAAATTTGATGAAACTTTCACAGAATCTTTTAAACATATTGCCATTGTGCACTTCCTATTTTACTTTTTGATCTGACTCGTATTTTGGGTGTACCACAACAAGACATGGGTATTCCCATTATATTCATATGAGGATATCATTTAGTGAGCTTATTGCTCACAATAACTCTAGTTTTTTTTATAATTTTATTATAGTTTCAGATCATCTGCCACCAAAAATGGTAAGCACTTTTAAAAGTGAATATTACTTCCCTATGCTGTACATACTAACTGATGCTTGGATTGATTGCAATGCCAAAAATGGAAAAATTGAGTAAGTTTATGAGTATTTAATGCTAACCAAGTTTCTCCCCCTGAGATTCAATCCTAAAAGTACTGTAAATTCATCAAACAATTCTCGTGGTGAAGGTTTGAAATATAAAATAGACACTCTAATATTAAAGCCATAGATGGCGTATGCACAATGAAAATCATTAGACTAAAATTATAAGAACTTATTATTTGTTTCATTACTTTATATAAAGATAGAATTTTTCCGTAAATTACAAAATCTAAATCAATTGCGTTATAAAGATATCACAATTTAATTTGGATTCTCGGAATTTTCTCCGACTCGGAAGAAAATACAAAAGATTTAAATAACACATTACAGAGAAGATAAAATCGTATTATTAGATGAAACGAGGTGTTCCCCGTGTTCAGAATTGTATGCATAGCTTAAATTTAAATGTTTTTACTATTTTTCTTTACTTAATTTTGTATTTTTCAAAAAATATTTTTTTTTATCATTTACGCCATATATGGCTTTAACGGGCTTTAAGTTGTTGATCATAAAGAATTATGTTGCATCATTATAGTATTTCTTTTAGATATGAATGGAAGAAAGATGGAGCAGTTGTTCAAAACAGCAAATATGTGTCAGTGGACAAAGACACAGGAACTTTGAGATTTAACCAGATGCGGGCAATTGTTTATGGAACCTATCAATGTTTTGCGAAGAATGATTTTGGGACCTCACTTTCCAAGCCGTTTAAAGTGAAAGAATCTTGTAAGAAATCAGTTGAGCGCTAATGCTTTTAATTCAAGGTCATATTTATTTTTAAAGAGCTAATACTATTCAATCAAAGGGCAAAGTTCATTTATTTTATTAGTACCATTTTCATTGTTTTGCAGGAAGTTGAATATCGTACAACTTACAAGCTTTCTTGTTGACAATGAGAGAGTGTTACATGTATACCTTACTTGTTAATTAATACATGTATAAATTCTTTAAATATAAATTATTGGTTGATTTATCAAAAAAGACTTACCGGTATTTTAAATACGGCGTGCATAAGGATCTATATCCTGTAAATTTAAATGTTAGCAATTTTGGTTTTTAAGCTGAACGATGATGTTTGGTGTGTAAATCACACTAACGTGTCTTGTGACGGCACATATTGTGGTCCTCTTCAAACGCAGCTTTAAATATTTTTAATTCGAGTTTTTCAAAAATATATATATTTCTTTAGCAATAGGAGCTTTTCCCTCCAAAGAACCCCAGGAAATACAATGTAAGGAGTTTGAACATTGTAAAATTCCTTGTCGAGACAAACCAGAATGTTCACCGGATTCTGAATGCAAAGTGCAGTGGTTTATTGGAGAAGGCACCAAGGGAAAGGTGGATTTATCAAAGAGAGTCGGGGTGGATGGAAATGGTACTTAGAAATAAGATGCATTCCACTAAAGTATATGTATGGCACGCCAAATTCACAAAAATGAGATAATCGATAAACTAGGTTTATCGGTTGTAAACTATAGTTTACAAACCGTAAACTATAGTTTACAAACCGTAAACTATAGTTTACAAACCGTAAACTATAGTTAATAACGTTAATCTATATTTCACATCTGTAAACCATAGTTAATCTATGTTTCACAACCGTAAACTATGCTTAACACCGAAAACAATCATATGCGATTGCAAACCATAGATTATCTGATAAATACAGTTTCACGATTTTTTAAACTATAGTTTACAAACCGTAAACTATAATTAACGATCTGATAAATATAGTTTTACAATTTGTGAAACTATGATTAACAACTATTAACTATAGTTTACGATTGTGAATCTATGTTTATCAACAAAATCTATTGTTTACGCTTTATTACAGACATATTAACTTAAATTAACATTCGTAAACTATACTTAACAACCGTTAAATATAGTTTTACAGATGAAAACTATACTTAACGAATCGTTAACTATAGTTTACGGTTTGTAAACTATAGTTTACAGTCGACAAACCTACATGTATTTTATCAATTCTGAAACTATGATTATCTCATTTTTTGTGAATTGGCGTGCCATATATATATATATGTTAATTCAATCTACTGAAATATACTAGTATTCCGTCACTCAGAAAATAAAAAGTTAAGATAATATTTTTGTATTCTTTGCAGGCGACCTCCATTTTCTAAGGACAAAAGCCAATGATTGGCCATGGGTAGGCTTAAACTACAAGTGTGGAGTATGGCATGAACAACTCAAGATGCTGCTTGTTGGCAGTCAAACAACTCTTAAAATTATCAGTAAGTATTTAGTTATTGCAAGGATTATCAATTATCAATTATTAGAAAATCTTACCTTTTCTGAATTGGTCAATAGTTACTCTTGCCACCAAAACAGTCAAACCCCATAATCTTCAATTCAATTGGACCGAGAAAAATGAGATCGAGTTATCCAAGGATTGGAAACGTTCATGGAAAAGAACTAAAGAATGCAGGGTTAGGACTTCATAATCACTTCCACATAGCCATGGTATTCATTCGTGTTTGAGATACTCAAGATTTACTGTATTAAAAAAGCAAACAGTGACTGTGATACATTAATTTGACTTGCTAGCTCTACTGGTTAGAGACCGAAAGAGCTTATGCGATAGTAAGGTTCTGTCATGTCGATCGGTCTGTCTGTAAACAATTTTTTTTCAAAATACTACTCCTCCTACAGTTTTGCTCTGATTTCGAAATAACTTGACACACAAGTAGACAACACAAAAATACAAAAATTCAGTACATCGATCTTTCATTTCGAAGAAGGGTGTTGCCGTGGTTACTTAAAATAGAAATACCTGTGAAATTCATTTAAAAGGCTTCCTCTCCTACATTTTTTGGTTTAATTTGAATATAACTTCACACATAAGTAGGCTACACTAAGAGACATAAACTAGTGCATAAGTTTCAGATTTAGATGAATTAAACGGTACTAAAGATAGAAATTTCTGTGATATTCCTTTAAAACTTTATTCACGCTACAGTTTTGGTTTGATTTCTATTTAACTTGACATGCTAGTATACTACACTAAATTACAAAATCCAGTGCATTGGTTTTTGATTTCCATAAACGGAAACTTACGGAAGAAACTGTCAATGTGTTTTTCAGCGGCTAGTCGTGTCCCGACACTGAGTCCAAATTTGATCTATAAATCTGGTGGTAATGCCCATTACAGAGGAGAGGGTGTTCTCAAATGCATGTTTTCAGGATAGTGAGTAGAATTAAATCATTTCAAATGCTTTTATCACAATTAATTTAGAAAATTATAAAATATTACACAAATGTCCTATTGTGAAAATGCTAGCTGCAGATCTGTAACTATCTGGTTGAGAAAAAAAAATCGGACAGACAAACTTGAGAGCAATATGGATGTCGGAATGCCAAGTTTTGGTAACTTTGGTCCAAGGCTACAACGGGCTGTTTAAGATTGTTGAAAATAAAGCAAAATAACAAGATGAGAGTAAAATATGTATTTAAATTTTATAATTTACGGATATAAACATTTTTGAGTGGGGCGTTTAAAATAGAGAATACCATTTGAAAGCATCGCCGTAAATCGAGGGTGTTTACAATGCTTTGTTCTGTAAATGTCTGGTTTATCTGTCCGAACAGGGAGCCACAGTTCTGTAGCTAGAACGGTGGCTATTTTCAAGACTGTTCAGCAATTTTATTCTTTGTAAAAAAAAAAAATTAATAAAGAATAATTATGTAAAATCAATTTTGTGATATACCGGTATGTTACTGGTCAATTTTGTTTGTAGTGCAGCACCAGATATTGAGTGGGTTTCTCCAGACAATGTAGTCATCAAGAATTCTGACAAATATGTCATCACCGATTATGAAAGGACACTGATTATTAAGGATGCAATGCAAAATGATGAGGGTCTCTACACGTGTACAGGAAACAACACACACAAGATAAACCCCCAAGGAGTTTTTCTTAATGTTACTTGTAAATCCATTTAAAAATGATCGTTCTGACAGCTAATCCGATATAAAACATGCATGTATAACGACATACAAGTCAAAGTTTACTAAAAAAGAGCAGATTTGATTATCAAAAACATTATTTGTAAATCAACCTTAGACTGAGTGAAAAATACAAATGAACAAGAAATTCCAAGTTATCCTTAAATTTTAGAAGTTAGTGCTGAGACTAATCGGTCTTGAATTCAAGGCTCTTCTAGATAATTTAGAGCTTCTCGTAGAGTGACTTCCATCTACATGTAATGATATACATTTTTCAGCTGCACCGATGCTTGATTCAGAATCAAAAAATCCCCAGATGAATGACTTGTATGTGTCAGTTGGAAAAAATGCCACATTTTACTGTGAGGCCATATCTTTACCTGGGGAAAGTGCTCCAACTGCTCCACGGTGGATGAAAAACGGAGTGGCTCTTCAAATTGACGGAGGTAAGAATGTGTTATACAACTTAAAAATGTGTTTTTTAGTAAAATGTTTATAGAAATTTCGATTACCTTCTCAAACTATCTATGCTCATTTTCATGTAAGCATATTTTTAGTGGTAATTTCATGAAGTAAAGATAACCATTTTAATTTAACCATTTTATAAAATACTCATACTTATTTTTAGGCAAGTATATTGTGAGCTCGAACCAACAGATGCTGATTGTGACCAATGTACAGAAAGCTTTAGACTCCGGAGCTTTTCAATGTATGTCTGAAAACAGTGAAGGGGTTCTGCTCAAGGATGCTTTACTCAAAGTCATAGGTAAGCTGATCAATATGTTTCTCAACTACCAAAAACCAACTTTTATTTGCATGCGAGAAATTTTCCCGAGGTTCTATAAAGATTTGAAGAAACAGTAGACATACTAGGAGAATGTTTGTAAATAGAAGACCTGATTTTAACTCTATGCATAGTCATGTATTTCATTGTCATCAAAACTTTTGATTGATATAGGGCAAAAGTTTAATAAACTTTTGAAACAATCCCTTTCAATAATAATTTTAAATCAGAGGTGAAAATTATACATGTACACTCAACTTTTTATCTGAGTGTGCAGTAGATAGAATGTTCTATCGTTAAAATGATATTGTCCTACGAACCCGGTTTAGTGAGGGCCTGTACCGAGACACAGTTAGATTATTCTAACTAAGTGTGCAGTGCCTCGATGCACCTATAGATTGTCGCATATCTTTTAAAAAAATAGCGATATTCAAGAAATGTTCATATCTTTTGACCTTCTTTTATTAACTGAAGTATATTATTTTTTCTGAAGATCCAATAACCATAATACAGAGACCACAGGGAAGCTACAAGATAATGCCAGGAGATAAAATAAGTCTGGGAGTTTTGTCCACGAGTGAGCCATCTTTGTCCCTGCGCTACAACTGGACATTTATCAGTCTGCAAGGTGAAGAGCAGGTGGTCAAAGACAATGACATATGGAAGATATCCAGGCCGACACTTAACAATCTGACCATTGACGTCAGTCAGGTCTCAGATCCTAGTGTTGTTCTCGGGGTATCAGGGGAATATGTCGTAGACGTCTTCCATAACTACGACTCCGAGAGAATCAAGGTCACTGTGGAAACGGAGATAATCACTACCGGTAAGCTTGTTGTCACTCAGAGTTTCATAATTTCTATCATAATTGTAAGAATTGGAAGATCAAGTTAATATTTACATTTGGAAATGTACATCTTATAAATATAACTAAGAAAGATCAAGGAAAAACTTCAAGATATCCACAGGCTTATTATTTTAGCCAATAGTATAATAACGAGTACTTTTGGACAGTTCCACATTTTTTTAATATATGCACTTTTTCCACACTAATTCATTACACTTGTTTACTACGTATCAATAATTTGGGGCAACATTCAAAAATAACATCCGATATTTAATATTACCTATACTATGCATAATTACAGGTAACTTTTCATGGCTCCAACTTCGATCTCTTGATGTTCTTTATTGCTTGAAGTGAGTCTCCGGACCTGAATTTTTTCCCTATACTTGATATGACCAAGCCTATTTGCTCTTAAACTCTCTTTAAAATTAATTTAGAATAAAATTTCGTGACAATAAACTACCAGAAAGATTTTTACCTTCAATTTTTACTTAATACCAGATTTATGCCAGTAATAAAAAACATTCTTAACTCAGTATTATAATTATAAAACAAATAAAATATCAACTCCAGGTTACGTTAGGATTCAGAAGGGACAGGGTTGAACCCCCCCCCTCCGGAATTTCGGAGTTATTTAAAAATAAATTCTATGTAACTCCGAATCAGAGAACCCTCTTGAAACTTTAAAAGGAGTTATGTACCTGAAGAAAATAACTTTTGTAAGAGGTCCCATTACGAGTTTATTCATTCATCCCTTTTGTGCGTCACTGAAATAATTTTCGGAAACATATCGTGTTTGATTTAACTTTTACCGTTACAAAACCGGAAGCACGTGTTGGCCCATGTTGTAAACAAAACCTAACCCACAGTGCAGTGAGAACTTTTGAGGTTTGAGTACCTTAACCAGACAGAACAGGTAAGAAATGATATCTATTTAAGAGAAGCATGTGTCAAATCTATGTTTTACCTAATTTTAAGACTAAGACACTGAAATTCCTTCATTTATATTCATGTTAATTCGAGATTCCTCAGACTCATAATCATGAGAGGCAGCATTTTCCCACATAGCAGGTTAACATAATCTAACTACGTCATGGGATAATTAGATAGAATGTTCTATCGTTAAAATGATATTGTCCTACGGACCCGGTGAGGGCCTGTACCGAGACACAGTTAGATTATTCTAACTATGGGATAATCTGCTTTTATATTGAAATTAAGTCCCTGTAAATTGATTATCTTTTTTTCAGGAAATAAATCAAACCAGCAAAGTTAAAAAAAACTAAATAAGTTATTAATAATGATCAGGTCCAGTCCAACAGTCCAAAGACTGTTTCTACCTACGTAGCTATTAATAGCTACCTAGGTTTTTAAAGCTATCAGAAGTAGCTATTTTTACCAACTTTCTGATTTACTTGCATTTTGTGGCCAAATGCAGGAATGGTGCAGCATGGTGAGCACAAAATTTCTTGATACAGTCACACTGATGATGGATATGACAAAATTTGGCCAAAGAATGATTATTTTGTATATTATCAATTTTGCATAGAAACTAATGTAAAATTGCCGATTCAGGAAGTAATAATTTTTTGCACAAAATCTTGTCGTATTCATCATTAGTTTGACCGTATCAAAAAATATGGTATTCACCATGTTGCGCCGTTTGGTGTTTTGGCTGCAAAATGCAGACAATATAAAAAGTAGGTAAAAATAGCTACTTTGGGTAGCTTTGAATACCTATAGGTAGTTTTAATAGCTACGTAGGTAGAAATAGTCTTTGGACTGGACCTGATGATAAAAGAGTATGCTATTATATACATGTGCACTACAAGATAAGCAAGACAAATGCTAGCTTCATACATGTAGGTATAATCATTGAAATGTTAAAAGTACAATAAGTTATATAGATATCCAGAAATCCAATCCACACTTTACAAACAGAGGCGTCAGAAGCTAATTGAAAGTGTGTGTGTGGGGGGGGGGGGGGGCTAAACCAACAAAAACAGTAAACCCCAATTTTCAATGCCTATATTATGTATTTATTTTCCAAAAAAGTGCCCCCCCCCAAGTTCCGACACCTATGACAAACATTTTCCTTTGTGGAGTCATGACCAAATAGTTATAGATTCTCTTCGATCTTTACATATTATCAAACATTTGAGCATGCTGGGATAAATTCACGGTGTTGTTTTTTTTTCTTTCAAATTATCGGTAGTTACTCCACGGGCTATCAAATTAAGAAATCCAACAATTATTTTTAAAGTCTATAATGACAAAGCATATACCTGAAAGTAGCAAAGGCCCGTATTTGAATTCTATCCCCCCCCCCCACCACCACTACCACCAAGTGATGCCAAAGGAACAAAACTTTTGAAAAATGTGAATTCAACTTCAGTCTTCAGTTGAACTTTGGTATCTTGAATACTTGTGGATATGCTGAAGTGATTTGGAAGTCTAAATGTTTGTATAAATAATTTTTTTAGGTGAAATTCAAGGATCAATGGTTGGTTGAAATTTAGGCCAGTATATGTGAAGGTGTTCTACTTGTAAATGTAAGCTTAAATAACTGAATAAGCATTGTTCATATTCTTCTAAGACGTCCTACATGCATGCATGGAAGTTGATTCATATTATAGCAGAAAATATGTTGGTCAGGTTTGTCCAAATCATTACAGAGGTTACACTCACTTGACTGTTACTATACATAAAAAAAGTAAACAGTTTTATCAAAGTAACAGTTACTTTTATGTATAGATGAAATTAACATCACTCTGATATTAAAAAACTTTGCATGGAAGTTTATTCAGGGGGAAAGTATGATATATTTAATATACTAGTTTTACATGTACTGTGATTAACATTTTTCTTTAAATACTAATTTTCAGAAGATTACAATGGCAGCTGGAGAAGGTTCAGATTATTTCAAAAGCTACGGTGATCTGTCGGTCCATACCCTCATGCTGAAAGACAAGCCTAGAACATTAGCCTACAAAGAATTCATCGAAAAGAACCAGTTCCTATTTCGAGATAAAGTGGTCTTGGATGTGGGTGCAGGGTCCGGGATTCTGTCCTTGTTTTCTGCCTCTGCTGGTGCTTCTATGGTGTACGCTGTCGAAGCCAGCAACATGGCTGATCTATGTAGCCAGATAATCCAGTGCAACAAAATGGAGGACAAAATTAAAGTCATTAAAGGGAGGATAGAAGAGGTGGAACTTCCAGTGGAGAAGGTGGATATCATTGTTTCTGAGTGGATGGGCTTTTATTTGCTTCATGAATCTATGCTAGACTCAGTGATATTTGCCAGAGACAAGTGGTTGTCAGACTCAGGTATAATGATTCCATCTCATGCTACATTGTACCTAACACCTGTCAATATGTCCAAGTATGTCACAGAAAACTTCAGATTTTGGGAGAATGTGTATGGATATGACTTTTCTCCTTTACAAACTGTGTCAATGACATCAACCCTTCAGCAACCAGTTATTGAATCCATAGATCCAAAACAGTGTATGTCAGACCCAGAAATAGTGAAGGAATTCGATTTACTGACTACGAAAGTAGAAGACTTAAAAACTGTTCAAAATACTTTTACATTTAAAATGACCAAATCTGGACTTGTGCATGCTTTTGCAGCATGGTTTGATGTTTATTTTGGTGCCCCAACAGTATCAATACCTCCAAGTTCACCTGGTAAAGACATTCCCAGAGTTCACCTAGTGACCTTGTCGACCTCTCCTATGGTAGAGGTCACCCACTGGAAGCAGACGGTGGTTTTTATTCCTGTGTCAGCAGCTGTGGATGAAGAAGACTCTCTCTCCTGTAAACTGGAGTTGTCACAAGATGCAACCAATCCTAGGCTATACAATATCTCCATAGAGACAATGGAGGACCAATCAGAGTCTGAGGAATCAGACTCAGAAGAAGAGGAGGATGTATCAGGTGATCAAATCAATCTAGATTAAAGATAAACTTTTACCATGATGGTTACATATTAGAATTAGCACTAGAATGAAATAAGCACAAAAATAAACATTCTTTGCAAAATTCCTGATTCAGACTTGATATTTTCATAGGATTTTAGATTTTTATATTTCTGATATAAATGTAGTACATGTAAGTTTGTATCAATTTTAAAGAAACCCAAACAAATTTATCTTTTCCCTTGTTGATTATGTCAGAAAAACTTATTAATCATTTTATCATATTGTTGATTTTTTCTCCACAGACCACCCTATCCCTTGTGACTGTGGTGCTGGGAAGTGTCGACTGATAGCAGCGTTGATGCAGAAGTATGATGAGGAGCAGACGGCACTGGAGTTGGAAGCAGAAGAAATGGAGGCATGTGCTGCTACAGAGGCTGCCAGAAATATGGACCTGGTGGAAAATGGCGGAGGGCAGCAAGTTAATGGTTGTCTGGATGAATAGGACCCCTGTGTACTGCATGAAATAATGTTATATTTCTTGTACACTTCTAGTGTTCTTAATATGAATCTATACAATTTTTACAAGGGCATTTTCACTATCAATAAAAATATAACAGAAAGAATGTTGAATTACGTTTGATGTACACTTCTAGAATACAGACATAATTTCTGATGAGGGCATGTGCACTATCAATTAAACAACTCCTAAATTCTTTTTCATGATATTGAAAAAGAAATTCTTTATTTTTTTTTATTAAGATTTATAAGTATCTGTAAATATAATTATTAGTGCAACATGACACCATGTATTTGAAGGATAATCAACATTAGCAAAGAAAAGAAAAACATCTCAAGTGGAATTATTTGTATTGAGATTGATGTATTTTTAAGCTGAACACAGCTTGTAAAACGACGTAAACCATATCATTTTTCCAATCTCCTATGTCATCATGGGGATGTTTAAACCCTTTGCATTCAAAAACCTAACTGTCTTTACCTGGTCAGTGCTGTATGTAGTATATGTACAATGTATATCTAACATCAATGTCTTTTTGTTTACATTTTATTTCAATGAAGATGCAGTTTGGTTTTTTTTTTACTTTGTAATGCATTGACCAGTGCAACCAACATTGAATATCTATCGTAATTATTTTTCTTGACATGACAGCAGATGTCATTTCTGTCACGCCAAAGTCTATCGTAATGAAAATAAAAAATGTGTCTGTTCAGGTAAACACCATGAAACAAAATATATTGAACTCTTAACAAAGCTTGAGGCTTATATGGTGGTTGGCGAATACAAATCTTGATAAAACTAATATTGCAGACAAAGATAACTCTCTTCCTTTTAGGAAAAATGTTCAGCTTTAATTGTGTTTATACAGTATTTCAATCAAAAAAGCTACTTGTTATGTCATTCTTTTGCTAGATGATTCATTAGAGAAAATGTTCACTTTTAATTCTTTGCCAAGAAATGAATATATATTGACGAAATCAAGATAAAGAGGCATTTTAGCATTAAACAAGATGTACTAGTTATACCCGCACTTTCTTAAGAAAGTTCGGGTATATTGTTGTCACTCATGTCCGTCCGTCCGTCTGTCACACTTTTCTTCCCTGAACTCCTCCTACATTTTACACAGTAGCCTAATCACTTTTTGGGAGATGGTTGGTGGTGTCATGTAGATGTGCAGTAAGGTTTGGGAATTCTGATTTTACCCCGGGGGGTCAAATGGGGGTCGAAAAATGAGGTTTTTTATGCAAAAATCCCCTTCTTCCCTGAACTCCTTCTACATTTTACTCAGCAGCCTAACCAGCTTTTGGGAGATGGTTGGTGGGGTCATGTAGATGTGCAGTAAGCTTTCGGAATTTTGATTTTGCCCCAGGGGGTCAAATGGGGGTCGAAAAATGATGTTTTTTAAACAAATAGCTCCGTCTTCCCTGAACTCCTTTTACATTTTACTCAGCAGCCTAATCATCTTTTGGAAGATGGTTGGTGGGGTCATGTAGATGTGCAGTAAGGTTTTGGAATTTTGATTTTGCCCCGGGGGGTCAAATGGGGGTCGAAAAATGACGTTTTTTATGCAAAAAGCCCCGTCTTCCCTGAACTCCCCTTACATTTTTCTCAGGGGCCTAATCATCTTTTGGGAGATGGTTGGTGGTGTCATGTAGATGTGCAGTAAGGTTTCAGAATTTTTATTTTGCCCCGGGGGGTCAAATGGGTGTCAAAAAATGACTTTTTTAATGCAAAAAGACCCTTCTTGCCTGAACTCCTCTTACATTTTACACAGAAGCCTAATCATCTTTTGGGAGATGGTTGGTGGGGTCATGCAGATGTGTATTAAGGTTTCTGAATTTTGATTTTGCCCCAGGGGGTCAAATGGGGGTCGAAAAATGATGTTTTTTAAGCAAATAGCTCCGTCTTCCCTGAACTCCTCTTACATTTTACTCAGCAGCCTAATCATCTTTTGGAAGATGGTTGGTGGGGTCATGTAGATGTGCAGTAAGGTTTTGGAATTTTGATTTTGCCCCGGGGGGTCAAATGGGGGTCGAAAAATGACGTTTTTTATGCAAAAAGCCCCGTCTTCCCTGAACTCCTCTTACATTTTACTCAGGGGCCTAATCATCTTTTGGGAGATGGTTGGTGGTGTCATGTAGATGTGCAGTAAGGTTTCAGAATTTTGATTTTGCCCTGGGGGGTCAAATGGGTGTCGAAAAATGACTTTTTTAATGCAAAAAGACCCTTCTTCCCTGAACTCCTCTTACATTTTACTCAGCAGCCTAATCATCTTTTGGGAGATGGTTGGTGGGGTCATGCAGATGTGTATTAAGGTTTCTGATTTTTGATTTTGCCCCAGGGGGTCAAATGGGGGTCGAAAAATGACGTTTTTTATGCTAAAAGCCCCATCTTCCCTGAACTCCTCTTACATTTTATTCAGCAGCCTAATCATCTTTTGGGAGATGGTTGGTGGGGTCATGTAGATGTGCAGTTAGGTTTTTGAATTTTGATTTTGCCCGGGGGGGTCAAATGAGGGTTAAAAAATGACGTTTTTTATGGAAAAAGCCCAGTCTTCCCTAAACTCCTTTTTCGTTTTAAACAGTGGTCTTATCCTCTTTTGGGAGAGTTCACTCTTTTGAAATTTTTTTAAAACATCAAGGTCAAGGGGTAAAAAATCATAGCATGTTGGGAAACATCTTGTTATGGGTAATGTTCACTTGAAATGTGAAAGTCGAATCTCTTCTCAATGAAAAGGAAATACAACATTAATGAAAACTAAGTTAAACTTCAAGGTCGAGGTCACAGAGTCAAAAAGTCATGATACATTTGGAAAGGTCTTATCACAGGTAATATGAATGCCCTTTCATTTATCTTTCAAAATGATCAATTTAAAGCAATTAATTTGTTTATGAAATTAGGTCAAACTTCAAGGTCATGGGTAATAAAAATCATAGTGTATTTAGAATGGTATTGTCCCATTTAATACTAATACGCATGTTTAATATAAAAGTCCTGTCTCTTCTCATTCAAAATATATGACCATATGACCAAGGTTAAATTTATTGTGACAGATGGGCAGATTGACAAACAAATGAGATTTAATGTACCCTACCTTTAGCGAAAATGGGGGACAATAAATGTCTTTGCTGTTCTTGAGAAGTGCATATTTAAATGTAAATTGGTTGAAATTGGCCCAGTGGTTCTTAAGAAGTTAATGTGAAAAGTTAGCAGACAAACAGATGGACAACAGAAATCAGTACATTTCAGAAAACAGTATGCTTATAAATAGTTAATCAAGGTGCTTTGGGTAGCAAAATAAAGCTAAACTGGTATATCTAATTCATCCGCAGAGCTTAGTATATTTTAATATGCACAACCTTTTCAACTGTTATCATAATTATTTTTTAAAATTTATATCACCATGTCTCATTCAAGGGAGAACTAGAGATATGACCAGATGTATATCTGTTGAATATAAAATATGTACATGTATACTGTGTTTTTTTAGTAATTTGTTTGTTTGCTGTGACAGCAATTGTTATGGCAGCTTTTGGCAAAGGTTGAAGTTTCTCAAATGTAAGTCAGACTCCAAGGTCAAGGTCAAAGGGTCAAAATTGTTGGTATCAAAGGGAAAGTCTTGTCACAAGGAATACACATGTGAAAAAAGAGAGAAATCCCTAGAACTTCCTCACCTGTTCAAAAGTTATTGCCAAGGTTAAAGTTAAATTGGGTTCAACTCTAAGGTCTAGGTCAAAAATAATTATACCTGTTGAAAGTTCACAATGATTACACATGTTAGAGCATGAAAGTCCTAGCACCACCTGTTCAAAACTTAGGCCAAGTTTAAGGTATTTTTCTTGTAAAAGTGGGTCAAACTCCAAGGTCAAGAGATCAAGAGGTCAAAATTGGTGGTACCCATTAAAAGGTTTTGCCAAAAGAAATTTACTTATGAAATATTGAAGCCATGTGTATAGCTCAATCCACTTAAAACTTATGGGCAAGGTTAAAGTTTCTGTGGACAGACAAACATACATAAACATAGGAAACAAAATATGTATATATAGTCAAATGAAAAAAATTTCTACTATTATGGAGTCATAAGATCAATTGTCATTTCAGGTACAGGGAGTCAGTGGCTAGGGAGATCAGACCCCCCCCCCCCCCTGGAATTAGCAGTTATTTAAATAAGACTATGTACTGTAGAGAATAAAAATGACTTTGGACATCCTCCCCCTTAGAAAACAGGGACTCCACCATCATTAAGGTCTTCCGTTTCCAACGGAAGACCTTCTACTGATTCTGATGGTTAAGATTATTCTTATTATTCTTTTTTTTTTCCTAGACGCCAACTTTGAGACCTCGTAACTCGCTCATTTCTCAACGGATTTCGCTCAAATTTTCAGAGGTTATAGACGTATATAAACTCTATCAGAATACTGACTAAAATTTCAAAAAGTCACTTCCGGTTTTGAGTTATTTCCCTTTTAACAAAAATTTATAGGCTTCCATTTCCAGACAAAGGCTCAGAGACGGCTAAAGCTGGAGCAGAAATTCTACTGATTTTAGATAACAGAAGGATTGAAGTTGTGCACATCGGTTTTTGTTTTTCGATTTCTCTATTCAAAATGGTGCTATATAGGGGTCAAAAATTAGAACGCTTAAAAGAACCAAAAATTACTCATATTTTGCTTCTTATCTTCTAAACTGAAAATATTTTGTTAAAATATATAGAGCATAATTTGTGAAGAATTAGAAGATCTTTCAAACGATATCTCAGAAAAAGGGCTGACCCCTAAATTAAGGGATCTAGAGGGGCCAAAAGTTTTTTCCAGATATCTTAAAAAGTATTGAGATTTTGTTATACATCAAAGAAGCAAAGTTGTTGAAAATGTCAAGCTAAATCTAATGGAGTCGTCAAAATACGTCGAACGTCGTCACTTCCTGCCAAACCGGAAGTAGTCGTAAAACGCGTATTTTTGCCGTTTTTGACAAGTTTTTGGGCAACATATGTCTCTGGGAGCTTAAAAATTAATTTTTCGTGCGTAGTCGTCACTTCCGGTCAAACCGGAAGTAGCAAAAAATGGCTTGTTTTTGCATTAATTAACATATCTTTAGAGGATTCAAAGCATTTTTGGGCGTTATTTCTCATTTTTGTTAAAAATGAGAGCTACTTCCGGTCAAACAGGACGGAAGACCTATTCGTTGCTTTGCAACGAGCTTTGCTCTAGTTGTTTTTATTATTATTTTTTATTTGCTTCTCAGGAAATCTTGGGCTGATTTTTTTGACTGAGGTGTGACCCCCCCCCCCCCCTTTCTGAAAAAAAAAATTCTGGATCTGCGCCTGTATATACTGAATGTCCGCAACGGGAGATAACTTGACAATGTGAAATTTGTCGACTGTGGCATGCGATGATCTTTGACCCTTTTTGAACTTCAACCTAACCATTTGCATTTATTTATTTTTATGCAATCTATACTAAATCTTGTACTTACCGAATGTCAGGTCGTGACAACGAATTCATGAAATATAATCCATATAATCCAATTAAAACACAAATGATTTTAACTGACCACACTGCATCGTCAGCAAACATGTGCTAAATAATCTCATTCGACAAACCTTTGCTGATTCCGTTGCCAGTAAGAATCGGCCGAGGTGTGCCGAGAGGTGATATCTATAAATATGATAATGGGTGATGCAAACCCAATGTGAATGTAGAAAATAAGATGTTCACACGTAAAACTGTTTAGTACAAGAACAAATTTCAAACTATCATAATAAACTATGTTTTAACATAACTTTGCCATCTAGGTCTATTTTTAAAAAATGTGAGAGTGAGAGAGTGTGTGTGTGTGTGTGGGGGGGGGGAGAGAGAGAGAGATAGGCATTGACAAATTAATCGGGTTGTATTTTCAATGGGTTTTTTTCCTGACCAAGTACTAAAATCAGTTTGCATATTTTGATAAATTCATAAAAAACGCATTGTACTAAAATAATATTTTATGTCGTTG